GGATTTTGTTTCATTTTTCTGCATGTAGGTATCTAGTTTTTCCAGCACACCCAATGTGTGATTTTGGCACCTTTGTTGAAAATCAGTTGGCTGTAAATGAGTGGATTTATTTTTCTTTTAAAAAAATAATTTTTATTTTCATAGGTTTTTGGGGAACAGGTGGTATTGGGTTACATGAGTAGTTCTTTAGTGGTGATTTGTGAGATTTTGGTTCAACCATCAACTAAGCAGTGTACACTGAACCCAATTTGTAGTGAGTTGATTTATTTTTGGGTTCTCTATTCTGTTCCACTGGTCTATGTGTCAGTTTCTATGCTAGTACCATACTGTTTTGGTTACTATTGCTTTGTAGCATAGTAATTTACATTGTCATCAGCAGTGTATAAGAATTTCCTTTTCTCGCATCCTTTTGAAGTTGGGTAGTATTTTTGCTTCCAGCTTTGTTCTTTTTGCTTAGCATTACTTTGGCTCTTTGGGGTCTTTTGTGGTTCTGTAAGAATTAGAGGATTGGGCTGGGCGCAGTGGCTCACACCTATAATCCCAGCACTTTGGGAGGCCAAGAAGGGCAGATCATGAGGTTAAGAGATTGAGACCATCCTAGCCAACATGGTGAAACCCTGTCTCTACTCAAAATACAAAAATTAGCTAGGCATGGTGGTATATGCCTTTACTCTCAGCTACTCAGGAGGCTGAGGCAGCAGAATTACTTGAACCTAGAAGGTGGAGGTTGCAGTGAGCCAAGATTGCTCCACTGCACTCAGGCCTGATGACAGAGCAAGACTCCATCCAAAAACAAAAAAAAGAGAATTAGGGGATTTTTTTTTTTCTATTTCTGTGAAGAATATCAATGGTATTTTGATAGCTCTTGCGTTAAATCTATAGATTGCTTTGGACAGTATAGATACTTTTAACAAGTTTTTTCTTTTTTTTTTATGTTGGAGACAGAGTCTTGCTCTGTCACTCAAGCTGGAGTGGAGTGACACATTCTCGGATCACTGCAACCTCAACCTCCCAGGTTCAAGCAATTTTCTTTCCTCAGCTTCCAGAGTAGCTGGGATTATAGGCATGTACCAACGTGCCTAGCTTAATTTTCATATGTTTAGTAGAGATGGGGTTTCACCATGTTGGCCAAGCTGGTCTTGAACTCCAGACCTCAAGTGATCTCCTGTCTCAAACTCCCAAAGTGCTGGGATTACATGCCTGGCCATAATGTTAATTCTTCTATCACATAAACACAGTGTATCTTTCCATTTATTTGTGTCCTCTTCAATTTTTTTTTAATCAGCGTTTTATAGTTTTCATTGTAGAGATTTTTTACCTATTTGGTTAAATTTATTCTTAGGTATTTTATTTTTTGTAGCTATTATAAATGGGATTAATTTTTTAAAATTTCTATTTCAGGTAGTTCACAATTGGTATATAAAGAAATGCTACTGACAACTTTATTGAATTTATTTACCACTTCTCACAGGTTTTTTATGGAGTCTTTGGGTTTTTTATATGTAAAATTATGTCATCTGCAAACAAGGACCATTTAACTTCTGCTTTTCCAGTTTGGATGCCCTTTATTCCTTTCTCTTGCCTAATATCTCCGGGCAGGACTTTCAGTACTATGATGAATAAAAGTGGTGACAGTAGATATTCTTGTCTTGTCTAGATCTTAGAAAAAAGCTTTCAGCTTTTCTCCTTTCTGTATGATGTTCACTGTGGGCTTGTCATATGTGGCCTTTATTGTGCTGAGATAATGAGGTACCTCTTTTGAGCCTTATAGACTGCTCCTCAGGACCAGAAATAGTGACAAGAAGAGAGACTATCTGGAGTATGACCAGTACTTTTCGGACCATGGCAAGCCAATGGCATGTCGCTGCCTCGCTTGCCTGAACAGTGATGCTAATCCTGTAATGAATTTGTTTATTCTTAAGCATGACAATGCCATGACTTGAGCATGGGAGGGCCAACACTCAGTGACATAGACCTATAGTGATGGATGAGTCACTTCATCTCTCTGAGCCTTTGTATCCATTTTGTATAATGAAAGGTAAAATAATTTATTGTGAGGGGATTAAATAAGATAATGTGTATAAAAGTGCTATAACTGAATTTGGACTCAGCCCACATATTTATGCTATTACATTAATAAATAAGTGATTATATTTATATAAACTAGGACCATAGTGTTTGTTTTTCGCTACCTCATTTGACCATGCAAGACAGAAAATAGTGTGGGGAAAATGTTGGCATACATCCAAATGTTTTACACTTTTAAATTGAACTGAAAGTTTTCATGTAGCGTCTGATTACTGTGAGGTTGTTGGAGCAAGACATCCATTTTTTCCTTTAATTCTCCCCTTTCCCCACCAGCCACAATTTAGAAACATTCAGCATATTTTGGCTCAGACTGCATTAGTCAGACTGGTGAAAGAAACAGCAGGGACCAGGAGAAATCTTTCTATTTTAGCCCTTCTCAATGTTAAAATGTCCAAAATAAATGAATATTTGAAGTTAAATGTTGCAAACTAACCTTTTTAAAGGCCTAAAATCTATAACCTCAAGTTTTGTATCAAGAGAGGAATTTAAAATGACAATTTTGGTCATTTAAAAATCACAGTATTTAATGGCCAGTAAATATGAGGAGAAATATTCAGCCACATTAGTAATAAAAAGAATGTGAAATAAAATGTTGCATTAGTAATAAAAGAATGTGAAATAAAATACTATTTTGCCAATACAATTGGCTTTTTTTTTTAATGTAAAAGAAAGAAAAGGGGAGTAAAGATGTTGAATAGGGCATCTTGTACAGGCTGATAAAAGTATAAGCTGGCGTAACTTCCTCCTTGCAAAAGCAATTTAACAATATTTTTCAAGCTCTGTAGAGATATTAATGCCTTTGACACAGTAATTCTACTTATGGGAACTTAGCCTAAGGAAATAATCGGGAATGCACATAAATGTACATATTTGTGGGTATATAGGGATGTTTTGATACATATAAGGTATTGTGAACAGATCAAGGTAATTAGCGTATTCATCTAAAGCATTTATCATTTCTTTGTGTTAGGAACTTTCAATATCCTCCTTTCACCCATTTGAAACTTAATATGTTATTATTAACTGTAGTCATCTTATAATACTAACATCAGGAACTTTGACACACCTAAATGGCTAGCAATGGGGGATTGATTAAATGAAGTATGGAAATATCATACAATGTGCTTTTCTGCCATTAAGAATGGTAAACTACTTGGAAAAATAATGATAGGAGAAAAAAGCTTATAAAGTGAAAAAAATAATCATTAACTTAGTATTGTAAAATATCTGTATACACATTCTTTGTGTGCATATGTATGTGCACACATGTGTGTGTGTGTGACAGGTTGTTAAAAAAACCACAATAAAAGATTACCTCTAGGTGATGAGAGTGTTGGTGGTATTTATTATCTTCTTTGTATATTTTCCAAATACTTATGTTTGTAATCAGAAAAAAAAATAATTTAAAAGTACACTACTTTAGAACACCTGTTACTGATGCCAGCACATGAAAACATAAGAAAAAAAGTCTAAGGGTAATTACAACAGAATGCCATCAGTGCTTTTGATAGAATGGTGGGACTTGATGGCGGTAGTGGTGGTTTTTGTTATTTTATTATCTAATTGGTTTGTTAAATAATTGTACATATTTATGGCTACATAGTGGTGTTTTGATACATTTAATATATTATGATCTGATCAAGGTAATTAGCATATTCATCTAAAGATTTATTATTTCCTTGTCTTAGGAACCTGTAGTATCCTCCTTGCACCCATTTGAAACTCCTTACTATATGTTATTGTTAGCGGTAGTCATCTTACAGTGCTATAGAACAGCAGTTTTCAACCTTTTTGGCGCCATGGACTGGTTTCTTGGAAGACAAGTTGTATTAATTCGTTTTCACACTGCTAATAAAGACATATCTGAGACTGGGCAATTGACAAAAGACAGAAGTTTAATTTGACTCACAGTTCCACCTGGCTAGGGAGGCCTCACAATCATGGCAGAAGACAAGGAAGAGCAAGTCACATCTTAAGTGGATGGTGGCAGGCAAAGAGAGCTTGTGCAGGAAAACTCCCCCTGGTAATAACCATCAGATCTTGTAAGAAACTTACTCACTATCATGAGAACAGCATGGGAAAGATCTGCTCCCATGATTCAGTTACCTCCCACTGGATCCCTCCCACAATACATGGGAATTCAAGATGAGATTTGGGTGGGGACACAGCCAAACCATATGAGCAGTTTTTCCATGGACTAATGTTGGGGATGGTTCTGGGACGAATCAAGCTCATTATGTTTATAGCTCACTTTATTTCTATTATTGCATTATAATATATAATGAAATAATTATACAACTCACCATAAGGTAGATTCAGTGGGAGCCCTGAGTTTGTTTTCCTGAAAACAGACAGTCCCATCTGGGAGTGATGGGAAACAGATCATCAGGCATTAGATTCTCATAAGGAGCACACAACCTAGATCCCATGCATGGGCAGTTCACAATAGGGCTTGTGCTGATATGAGAATCTAATGCAGCCACTGATCTGACAGGAGGTGGAGCTCAGGCAGTAATGCAAGTGATGGGGAGAGGCTATAAATACAGATGAAGCTTTGTTCACTCACCCACCACTCACCTCCTGCTGTGCATCCTGGTTCCTCACAGGTGCTGGTCCATAGCCCAGGGGTTGGGGACCCCTGCCATAGAACACTAGAACTTACTGCTCCTATAGCTATAATTTTGTTTTTAATATTTGATGTTTTTAATGCTTTTCTTTAATGTGCTTCTGTTGAGAATATATCTTATGTTAGAAAAGCACATATAAATGTATTAAAATACTTTATAAATCTAGGTCATGTTTGAATGGAGGTAGGAATTTCCGGATATTCTCTTGTGAGTGTGATCCATCTTGACATGATGAAAACTGTTCATAATGGTGGCAAATGATAGACATTTTCTCTACTCCTACAGATATTCCTGAAATTCCAGAAAGCATTTCATTCTGTAAAGCACTACAGATCGCTGACTTCAGTGGAAACCCACTGATGAGGTAAGCTTTCTGCTTACTTTTCTATCTATAGTAGTAAGGATGTCTTTTTTGAGAGCCAAGCAAACAACACAGTCAGGTTAACTATCTTGGAGGTACCTAGAGGGATCACTGGCTTTATCAAGGATGGTTGACTTTCACAGATACTTCTTTATAAATAGCCCTGTACGATGAAAGGCATGCTTTTCTATTGATAGAAACCTCAAAGGATGTTGTAGGGAGAGGGGGTAGCACAGTGAAGTGTACAAAACAGGATGAGGAGTGCATTTCTAAAGGAATGTGAAGAATTTTAGTAGTTTATAAATCCCTATTGATCTGTTCTGTCTTGTGGTATAAGACGGTTTAAACTCCCAGAGAACTTACAACAAAGTTATCCAAGAAGTTATATTACAGTTTTTTTTTTGTTCTTTAGTCATGAAACATGTTTACTATCTTTTACTGTCTCAACTGTTCTCTAATACTCCATTTAAAAAAAAAACCCTATCAACCTGGTTATTTCCTTAGCAATAGCTGTGGGGATTTATTTGGGTTTTTTCCTGCAAATAAAGCTACCATGTCAGTTTTACTAATTCCAGGTTTACCCTTCCTGGTATGACACAGTCTGTTGCCCAGGCATGGCTGAGTGGCATTGCTGTGAGCTGTTCCATATGGCTTCTGGCTTAGTCATGAGTCCATTGATCACGGGCTTCCAGGCATTTTTTGTTGCCATTGTAACTGAATTGTGCCCACATGGCAATGCAGAGATGGCCCCTGGGAGTCTGTTTTAGAGGTCTCTTTGGGCCAGGTGAGTCCATTTATAAGATTTCTCAAGAGTCTAAAAGGAACCTCAGAGGAAATATATTCTTCCCTTCTTTTCTGTCTTTTTTCTTTTGATCTAGGAAATCTTAAGATTAAACTAAAATTTCTGAGTCATCTCACCCCCTTCAAAACTGCTTGGGCCTTCTTGGTTATGGAGTGCTGGAGAATGCACTATTTAGTTTTATTTTTCCAATACCTTCTTATTGCATATATGTATGTATGTATGTATGTATGTATGTATGTATGTATGTATGTATTTTGAGACAGTCTCACTTTGTCACCCAGGCTGGAGTGCAGTGGTGAGATTTTGGCTCACTGCAACCTCTGCCTCCCGGTTCAAGCAATTCTCCTGCCTCAGCCTCCTGAGTAGCTGGGATTACAGGCACATGCCACCACACCCGGCTAATTTTTGTATTTTTAGTAGAAATGGGGTTTCACCATGTTGATCAGTCTGATCTCAAACTCCTGACCTCATGATCTGACCGCCTTGGCCTCCCAAAGTGCTGGAATTACAGGGGTGAGGTACTACACCTGGTCACATTTATTTTTCAGACTATTTCTAATTGTCCTCCTTTGAATAGTAGTGATTAAGTTACATGTAAAATTTATTACTGTAAAATAGTTATCTAGTAAGCTATACTCTAATAGCTTTCTTACTCATCACTGTCTCTCCAACCTTATCCTTTTTCCTCATCATCTTTCATTCAACTGTCTCTTTTCTTAAAACCTTTCTATAACTCCCATCTCTGTAACATAAAGTCAGAGCTCCTCCATGTGCTGTGCAAGCCTCTTCTTGCCCCTCTGTCTGACCTTGGTCTGTCTCTTGATCTTCATTGCCCTCAGTTGCCTGTGCTGGACATCGCTCTCTGCTGTAATATAAAGTGCTTCTAGTTAGTTCATTTAATGCCTCTGTCTTCCTGACAGCACGAACCTTTTCATCTTCCTTATGATGCAGTTCAAGCATCACATGTTGTTTATGCAATTGCTCCCACAGGCCCCTCTTCTGAGCTCCCATAATGCTCTATATGTACTTTTTTCATAACACTTGAAATTTACCCTTAAGTTATTTCTCTGACCGAGACTCCTTGACTAACCTGAGGAAGTTGCTTGTATGTCTCTATTATTTATTATTGTATCTTCAACTCTACTGTCATTCCTGGAATGGAGTAAGTGCTCAGTAAATGTTTGTTGAACTGAACTAAGCTTAAGGGAGTTTACAGGGTTTGGCAAGCTGAGAAATTCTCATTCTGTTGCTGTTGAGTTTTTTTAAAACCACTGAGTTGCTTATTCCTTTTTTCTATTTCTTCGGTTTTCCTTTTCTAATGTCTGATGACATTTGACTTTACTATTATTTCAGTGCTCTCTCAACTGGAACACACCAGGATTGTGTGAGGTTTAGCTGTTTTTTGTTTGTTTTTATTCTGGCTTTCTATTTGGCAGGTGTCTTAAAGTAAAGCCATTTTAAGTTGGTAGGTGTGCTGTTTTTAAAGAATTAAGATGATATCTGTAAGTTGAAAGGACCTTAACAATTACTTAGTTTGGCTTAGTATTTATTTTATGGCTAAAGAAACTGAGGCACATGTAGGTTAAATTACCTTTCAGGATCATACAGCTAATGAATGGGAAGCTTGGACTACAGTTCATGTCTCCTGACCTTATGTCTGTCCTTCCTCGTCACATCTGTACTAGTTTAGTTCTTACGATGACAGCCAGAAAAAAAGCAGCTATTTAAATCTGCTATTTAAAACTATATTTTTCTTAAGTTTAAGAAAATCTTAGCTAGTTTTTAAATTATAAAATGATATGTACTTTCCAGTAAAAACTCAGGTATAACAGATAAGTTGCATCTTTTGAATTATAAGTAAAAATCATACCTCTGTTAATTGTTCCTCAGAACCAGTTCCAGTGATTATAAATATTCCAGTTAATACCCTGATCTTTTGGGTCTGGATTTGGTTGTAAGTTTGGAATTAACCTATGTTAAATATCAAACTGTTATGTAGACTTTTTTTTAAAAGGAACCTAGAAAGATAAAAATGAAAGATTCTAATATAGAGACCATCACTAAAGCCAGAAGTCTCTCCCTCACTGAGAAAGTGATACTTACATGTTCTCTTGTCTGTATTAGCAGATCTGTTTAATAACTTTCAGCATTTTAGATGCAATGAGATTCTTTGTCTTTAGTTAGGTTTTTCTTCCCTCCATAAATAGAGTAACCATAGAAATATTAAAACTAAACTTTCTTTGTAAATTTTAAATAATGATTTATTTAAAATTATTATTCTGTATTATTATGCTGTTATTCTGTAGAGTTTAAGGGACATATAAAAATATCCTTTTGTGTAGAACATAGTAAAACATAAAATGATTTCAAGTGATTGGCAACTTAAATAGACCTAAAAGAAAAATGTTAAGAAAGTAGCAATTGTCTGTCAGCGGATCAATTCTAAGTAATCTGTAGCTTTCCCTTGAATATTATAAACTACTGGAAGAAAAATAATTATGCAGTAGCTGTCCTGTATTTTATTGTAATCTCAGGGGCTGATGAAACTTTCTCTTTATTTTCTGCTAATCAATAAAATATTTTTACTCTTAGGCACTTCTAGCTGCAGCAATAATTCATCATTTTCTTTCATAGAGTGTTCAGTAGTCTCAACATTTTTTTGCCTTTATTCTTAGAGCTTGCATATCTTTCTACTTTAGTTATTTCTAGATCACCATAAAAACATAAGTATTTATCATGCCCTGTAGATCTATTATGTACATGAAGTCTTCGTTTTTTCCTTACAAGTATCTTATTTGTAGGAAGACAAGGCAAACATACTGTATATAAGGTCATTTTTAGGAGGTTACTTCAGTTAGCACATAGAATAAATCATTATACTTATGCTTGGTGTGTACTGTACATGAACTTTTCTTTTTTAATTTACAGATGTCTTTTTGTTTTAGGTTGCCAAAAAGCTTTCCTGAATTAGAGAATTTAACATGTCTTTCTGTAAATGACGTCTCCCTGCAGTCTCTACCTGAAAATATTGGCAAGTAAGTTTTTGTGAAGTTTGGGTGTATCAGAGTAAAAGGGGGTTTATATCATCAGCTCTAACCTCCTTTCCTTTTAAAGCTTCTGTTTGTCTACTCAGAAAGCCATTTACTCATACTTCAATGGAAAGATTATAGCCAGCCACCTATATTTTTTGCATCTAATTGTCCCTAAATTTTATTGGTTAAAAAGGTGCTGCTACTCATTACTAGTAAAAGTCCTAAATTGTTTGGAAGTGCTCTTTAAACCAATTGATGGCTAAGTAGTAATTTAAGCCAAGAACTATGTGTCATGTAGGTGGCCAGTAAATACTGGTAGAAACAACCACTCAGTAATTTTAAACCATGCTAGAAAGCCAACAAACAACTCCACTAAAAACATAAACTCTGTGCCTCTAAAGGCAGCTATGTCTGACAGACAGTATTTGTGAACTTTGGATCCAAGAATAGGGAATGAGAATCGTGTATTTGGAGAGCGGGAGTGGAATTGGGAGAGGAATGGAATGATTGGACACATTCCATGTTGCCTGCTTAGAGGCTGTAGAGGACCTAGCCATGGCAATAAGTAGAATCCACCGAAGACAATGTCTGCTGTGAATAAGTCTTCTGTTAGACATTCCCACAGATGAACTCGTTGAATTATCTTTGCAGACCTTTTTTACTTCTCCAGGACATACCGTGGGTTAAATCAGGTTGATGCTCATGCTTAACCACTTAAAATAGAAGTCTGACTGGTCTGCCCTAACCCGGTAGACAAGTGTTCCCAAGCATCATAAATGATTTTCCTTGTTTGTACCTGTCCTGCATAAGTTATAAGACAAAACAGAAACTTGCTCTTTGAGAACCACAGTAAACAGTTGAGCACAGTCTATCTGATGTGTCTGTTCTGCAAAAGTCCTCTTTCCAGAGGTGTATGAGAGTATTTGCAGACACCTTTTCCCCTCTCCTTTCCATCCACTTAAGGCAGAAGACAACTAGCTGACACCTGTTCAGCCTGCAAGTTGGTATTTTTCTGAAATGCACACTGATGTTTTATCTTTATGTCATTAGACTTACTAATTGAAAACTGCCATTAAACTCTCAGAGGGGGAAGAAAACAAGAAGCCTTCAATACACTCTAGGTTTGTGGTATCAGTTGCAGAGAAAACAGTGGTGTGAATTTTGTGCATGTACACTTCACTTTTGCTGCATCAAGTGTCGGATATTTATGATTTAACAATTCTTGTGCTGGGCACGGTGGCTCACACCTGTAATCCCAGCATTTTGGGAGGCTGGGGTGGGAGGATTCCTTGAGCCCAGGAGTTCAAGACCAGCCTGAGCAACATGGCGAAAACTCATCTCTACAAAAGCAAACAAAAATAGCTGGCTCTGGTGGCGCAAGCCTGCAGTCCTAGTTACTTGGAAGGCTGAGGAGGAAGGATCACTTGTGCCCAGAAGGTTGAGACTGGAGTATGCCATGATTGTGCCATTGAATTCCAGCCTGGGTGACAGAGCAAGACCCATCTCCCTTTTCCGCCCCCATGCCAAAATTCTTAAATATAGTGGCCATTTAAACACCCAAGCAGACACTGTCCTCCTCTTGCTCCTCAGGATCTCTGGAGTTTAATTTCCTTGTTACCCTCCCTTCCATTCATTCTTAGTCTACAGCTGTCAGATGGTCCTCCTTTCTAGCCTCTGATTCCTGCCCCTCTCCTTTTTTCCTCCATTTTGTGTTGTTTTGAAAAGCCTTAATGCTTTGAGATAAAATATGTTATTAAACCAGAGTGTCCCTCTCACCATCTACTGTACTATTTTAAAGGAAATTATTATTTTAGAATAAACTTTTACAGTGTTCATTATTACATATTTTCTGTTAATATCTGTACCTGTTTTTGTCAACGATGTTCAAGATTTGTTTTGTTTTGTTTTGTTTGGATTGTAGACTTAATCAGCTTCTGTTACTATTATAGCATTGTAGATACCAATTGTTTACTGAATGAAATGCTTTGAGCTTGAAATTAACTGATTCTTATTAGGTCAGTTTGTGAAAAGAAATGAAAAAGAGAGACTTTTCTATTCTTAGTTGTTAATAATTTTGTTACCATAGCAAGAAACTATGGTTTCTTCCTACTGGATTTATGATTCATGCGTGCTCAAGTACTGGCCTTTTCTCATATACCAGAAAGAAACAATCAAAGAACAGATTCTTTCTTTGAGAAGATTGGGCACCCCTGGCGTCCAAGACCATGTAGAAAAGGCACTTGAAACAGCTGAAACAGAATTGTTGAGGAAATCTCATATATGCATAAGTGTACTGCATTTTAAGCAAATTATTATTTGAAACTTGCAAGCTTTCCACATGGGAAGACTTCATTCGTTTCTCAAAGGATTCTCTAATAGTTTCTTTAGAGCATTTAACACATTTAGTTAACCAATATTTAGTAACCAGCACTTCTCAGGGATAGAATTGTTTTGTAAAGAAGATGATCTATTTAATATTCCATAAAATTTGAAAGGACATGGAATGGCCATTTAAATGCTTGATTCTTACTGTTATCTTTGTGGAGTCTGAGGTGGAATCTTTGTATAAATTACCTCTGCTTATGTGGTCAAATGGGTAAACCACATTAGCATTGGCCTCTCAAGCATCAGTGAAGACAGGACTTCGATTCTCCTCCTGGCACCTAGCACAGCACTTGGCATTGATTGGGAAAGCTTTGGCAATCTTAAGGACTTGGGCCCCCTCAGGATCGGCAGGGATACTCAGACTAGGATGGGAGGGCAAAAGCCTTTATATAGATGGAGTGAGCAGACTTGCAGTGCCTTGAACCTGGGGGCACCTGTACACATCTCTCCTATCATGTGTTTGGTTTGCTTATGGTCAGTTAATTTGAAGAAGTTTTTAGAAGTTGATGGCAGAGCTGGAACTGGACTATGGCTCTCCAGGTCCCAGTCCTGTGGTTTTTTTAATACTCCACCCTGCCATTGGCATAGGGCAGTTAGTTCCTAGGGCCCTTATGGGCTCAGTAACTTTCTCTTAGTACTCCTGGAAATATCTAATGGTTCATTAAGTAGGTCCAATCATCTTAATAAGTGATTATGTCCTAACAACCTAGTAGCTGTTTGAAAAAAATTATACATATAAGTTGAAAGAATACATATTTTTATTTCATTCTTAAATATTCCCAATTATTTACATTAAGTTCTCACATAACATCATCCATAGGTTCTTGAAAACTGTGACATTAAGTGAAACAAAGTATTATGAAGCCAGGTTTACCATAGGCTAATTGATATAAACAAGAGTTAAGTTACTATGGCATATTTCTGATCACAAAAACATAATCAAACTTCCAAATAAAACCCCCAAACACTTCTAATATTAAACACTGACATAAATATGAGCTATACATACATTTAAGAAAGATTAATAAAAACAGATAAGGTAATTATTTACCTAATTTTTGGAGAACCAGTGAGGGATGGCAGTTATAATGGTGGTAGGTTAAATCAAGCAATAAATGTTTACAAAGCAAAAATTTTAAGGAGCACTTCTTATGGTGCATTTCAAAGACAATCATGACTAGGGTAGGCTCACTGATTACTTTTGTACTGCATCATTTTTTGTGCATTTGTGTGATTTTCGTATACCTTGTTAATTTTTTATTTTACAATAATTTGTGTTCATTTATTCATTTTCCACCCCACTTATTCCAGTTCAGGTGAATGTTAAAATTTTTTGCCTACCTTGTCTCTTTCCAAACTGGCTGGGGTGTTTCATTTAATGATTGAAATTTTACATCTTTCATCATGCCTTTTCCAGTGACTGACAGGTGAAATAAATCCCAGACTTGGAGGTTCCCTGACCTACCTCATACTCCTGACACAATAAGTACTTTAGTCCTTTGTCTTTACATGGAAGTGTAGTTGTTCATTGTTTAATTGTATGTATATAATTGGCCTATGTACTTGGATCACCTGGTGCTCTGATACTGCAGGGACCTTGGTTGTCCTGCTCTCTTTGTGTCTGTACCTACCCTGGTATTGTTCTCACAAACTAAACAAATACACATGACAAGGTACAGAGTATTGCCTCTTTCATTCCACTTGCTTCCAACACAGGTCATCAAGTTCAGGTTCTGGAAGTTTATGCTAGAAAAAGTTTTTTTTAAGAAGGAACTATTTAAAAAAACAGCTTATGTTGCTCTAAAACCTTCTAACAAAAAGTAATTATTGTCTATTAATATAGGGAGACAATAAATTATTTTTAGGGAAACAAATGCTTTACCAAAAGAACTGGTAAGCTTTTTCCTTTTTAATAACATTTCTAACATTTATTTTCCTGCCTTTGTTGCCAGTAAGCTTAAAGCTGATTCTAATGACCAGTGAGAGCAGCTATGTTCCTTTCTGTGCGATGAAGGGAGAGGTGATGCTGAAAGTCTCAGTCGGGTAGGGACGCTTTGAGGCACATACACTGTCTCATGACACCCTTCCTCCTGAGGCTAGCTTTACCCATCCTGAGCTTTATTAGCTTCCTCTGTGAAATGGAGATAAGTGATCTGCCCAGGTGTGCGTTGCTTGTGGGTGGTAGAGCTGGTATTTGAACTGAGTTTCTTCCTTGAAGATGCTGCATTTTTTTGACTGTGTGCTTCTCATAATGAACACATTAGTGTCTCCCCATTTTCATGGCCCAATATTATTTCATGAACCTTTTTGTGTATTTGGAATTTTTAAAGCCTTATTTAAATCTCCTTTAGAAAAAGTTGGTGTATAATTAAGTGAATGACTTTCTATATCACTGCAGCTGCCAATTGGCATGGAAGAGCATGCAGTGTGGTCTTACTGAGTCGAGGTCCAAGTCTTGGACAGGCTTTCAGTAAACTATCTGAATTAAAACAAATATGATATTTTAGACATACCCTTAAAAACACTGCCTAGTGAACAATGGCTTCTTACTTTACTATCACTATAAACACTTGGAAGATTCCACTGGTAGGGTCAGGAAGAATAATTTTGTTTTAAGG